GCCCGGTCGCACCCAGCGTGCCCAGCGCCGCACCCGGGCACCAGCAGGCCCGGTGCGGGACCGAGCCCGGTCAACCCGAGCCAGCGCCCGACCGCCCGGTTCAGCCCGAGCCGGCGGTCCGGCCAGTCAGCGAACCGGCTGGTTCGACCGGCAGTTCGAGTCCATTTTAACTCGTGACTTCCGGTCTGAGTCTCTTCCCGGAATTTTAGTATTTTTCCGAGCCAAACAAGTCCAGTTTAATTGAGCAGATAGAACCGAGCATCTTAGCATATAATAAAAATATTCATAGCATAATACTTAGCATTATTTTGCTTTTATGTCTATGTAGCCTAAGGAGAGTCGAGCCTCCGATCGCTACTTCAGTCTAGCACTTGTATCAGATATTTTCTTAGTTACCAGGTAGTACCCTGATTGAGGTATGTTTGAGACAGTTAGTTCTCCCAGGTGAGAGGCCAACCTAATGGTCTTCCTACTCCACTTGGTATCATACTAGGGCTTTGGCCTCAGTGTCTGGATGGTGTGCACACGAGCAGCCGAGTGCCGAGGGTCGACGGACCAAAGTTTAAGAAAAGAAAAGTTTACAGTTCAGCTCTTATATATTGATGCTCATGATATGTTATTATTTATGCTGTTTAATTAAGTACTGGTCTTTGCGGAGAATAGTGATTTGCTCACGCCCCCATTGTGTTTTTCAGGTGACGGAGTCAAGCGGTCCGGGTGAACTAGTGTGGCAAGTGTGGTCATGAGTCGTGGAAATTTTTACCATCATTTTATGTACCACCATTCATGAACCATGTTATGTATAAGTTTGTATGACTGCAGTCATACTTTCAGCTTCCGCTAAGATATTAGTGCGAGAAAGACAGACTGCATGTATAATTCCAGTATGCTATAGTGGCTCGTTTTGGTTGCATGTTTTATTATGTCTGAGATAGTAAGTTAAGAAAGTTTTTCGTAGCATCCCGCAAGTAAGTAAGTATTTTCGCATATTAAACTCGCACGATATTTCGAAAATAAAAACGAAAAATTTACTCTGATTTTCAAAAGTCAAAGTTAGTCAAGGCGGGGTGTTACAACTTGGTATCAGAGCACCTAGTGTTCTGGATACCTTTCAAAGTTTTAGAAAAGCATGACCACGCCACGCTCACTCCGCGCCGACTCCGAGGTAAGTCACCTAAGCCAAGTTTAAGTTTTGCAAGTGCTGATTTAAGTTCAAGTACGGGACTAGATAACTATCCTCCTATAAGACAGATAACTCTAGAGAAGAGAACTCTAGAACAGCTAAGTCCAAGTACTCTACACTAAGTCAGAACTCCAGTATGAGCCAGAACATAGAAGTTTAAGTATACCAGAACTCTAGCCAAGCTAGGTGTTTTCGGATATTATTTTTTATTTTTTATTATTTCAAGTCTAGTATGGATATTACTTAATTGGCTATAATAATCAATTCAAGTGTTATTGGATCTCCAGAATGCCGCCACGCAGAGATCCTCAAGCCACAGCCGAGCAGGACCAGGCTGTCGCGGTCAGCCCATTCCGTACCTATGACCCGCCCTGTTTCTCCGGGGAGGATGGCCCGCTAGCCGTGGGAGAATGGATCCGCAAGATGGAGCGGATTTTCCGCATTATGGGTATTTCCGAGGCGCATAAGATGGTTTGCGCCGAACTATAGATTGAAGGCTCCGCAGGAGATTGGTGGGAGGATTACTAGCGTTTATGCACTAAGGACGAGCGTGAGGCCATGAGATGGCCGCAGCTTAGGACGCTTTTGGAGGATAAGTTCTACCCTTGCCATTTCAAGCAGAGGATGGTACGGGAGTTTTCCGCTCTACAGCAGGGTGAGCGATAACTGGATGAGTACGAGCATGAGTTCACTCGCAAGAGCGCCTTTGCTTCACATCTCGTGGATACGGAGGAGAAGAAGGCGACACAGTTCCTTGATGGGTTGAGGAGCAACATTCGACTGTTGGTGGCCACTCATGGCTACTTTGAGTATGCTGAGACTGTTGAGCGTGCTCAGCAGATTGAGGCATACCTCCAGCGGGATGCCATTGCCTAGCCGCCAGCCAGACAGCCAGCCGCCATTCACCCTGCCTAGCCAGCGCCATCTCAGCAGGCGCCAAACCCGAACAAGAGGAAATGGAATGACAGTAACAACAGGAAGGATCGCAGGCAGAGAGGCCCAGCTCAGGCAGGCCCACCAGCCAGACAGGATCTGCCGGCTTGTGCCACCTACAGACGTCCGCACCACGGGAAGTGTCTAGCCGGGCAGAACGTCTGCTACCGTTGCCGTCGACCAGGACATCAGATTGCCGATTGTCCAGACCGACCCCGACAGCAGCCAGCTCAGAGAAAGCCCGCTCAGAGACAGCCAGCACCGAGACAGCCAGCCCAAAGACCCCCAGGACAGCAGCAGCAGCAACGTGGAGCACCCGCCCATATTTACGCGCTTGACCAGGACTAGGCCGCCGAACATCCAGGTACTATGTCGGGTATGTTATCATTGTTCCATACTCCAGTCTTCGCTTTATTCGATATCGGGGCGACGCATTCGTTCGTCTCGGCCAAGTGTTTGTCCGCCTTAGGAGCCCAAGGGGTGAGTATTGTCAACCCTCTCGAGATCAGCCTCGCATCGGGAAGGAAGATAGTTACGAGTTCCCTGGCTCAGAATCTTAGCATAAATATCGGAGGCAGAACTTTAGTCGCAGACGCTCATGTGATCGACATGAACGATTTTGACTTGATTCTTGGCATGGATTGGTTGTCGAAGTACCGCGCAGTCATACGATGCTGTGACAAGGAGGTACCCTATACGTATCAGAGGGAGACCACATCACCTTTTTTGGGATGATGACCCGTACCTTGCCTTGAGTTATTTCCATGGCGGAGGCAACGAAGTGCCTGTAGAGAGACGATTGTCAGGGATTTCTTGTCAACATCGTTGGGGAGACTCCGAAAAGGCTGACTCCCGGAGATACACGCATTGTTCGCGAGTTTGTGGACGTTTTCTCGATCAGCTTCCGGGGGGACCACCTAACCGCCAGGTGGAGTTCACAATCGACTTAGTCCCTATAGCTGGACCAGTGTCGAAACCGCCGTATCGAATGGCGCCGAAGGAGCTTTAGGAGTTGAAGGCTCAGATTCAGGAGCTGTTGAGTCTCGGTTTCATCCGACCGAGCGTTTCACCTTGGGGAGCGTCTGTCCTCTTTGTCAAGAAGAAGGACGGGTCCATGAGAATGTGCATCGACTACCGGGAACTGAATCGGTTGACGGTGAAGAACAAGTACCCGCTTCCCAGGATAGAGGATTTATTCGATCAGTTGAGGGGAGCCAGTGTATTTTCCAAGATCGATCTCCGCTCTGGTTACCATCAGCTAAAGATCAGAGAGGCCGACGTAGCCAAAACAGCATTCCGAACGAGATACGGTCATTATGAGTTTGTAGTGATGCCGTTTGGCTTGAGCAATGCGCCAGCGGTATTCATGTATCTCATGAACCGTGTCTTCCATCCATTCCTGGACCAGTTTGTCATTGTCTTCATTGATGACATTTTGGTCTATTCCCGTAGTCCAGAACAGCACGAGGAGCACTTGAGGACCGTTCTGGAGACTCTTCGACATGAGAAGTTGTAAGCCAAGTTCTCAAAGTGCGAATTTTGGCTTGATCGAGTGGCTTTTTTAGGCCACATTGTCACTTCCAGAGGGATTGAAGTAGACCCAAACAAGATTGAAGCAGTTCGGAACTGGTCGACACCGAGAAATGCCACCAAGGTTCGGAGTTTTCTCGGTTTGGCAGGCTATTATAGACGATTCATCGAGGGGTTTTCGTAGATTGCCCTACCCTTGTCCCGTTTGACAAGGAATTCGGTGAAGTTTGAGTAGGATGGTCGTTGTGAGTCGAGCATCCAGGAGCTCAAAGCGAGGTTTACGACGGCACCCGTGTT